AAAACTAGGAGTCATGATACAAAATACTATTTGCAGTGTTGTAGGGAAGTAAAGAAAGATGCCAAAAATTACATAAAATTTGTTGGAATAAAACATGTAAGATTATTGATGAACTTGTGAGACATAGAAAAACCACTGAAGTATGGAAAATATTATAATCTCGTAGAACAAACAGAAAAGAGTCTATGCCCATAAGTCTTATTCCCTTAACAGAGTGGAACACATATAATCACAAGCTGTTAACTAAAGATCATCCGCAATTTATTATTCAATCAGACAATGAATTAAGATTCTCAGACCACATTTTTACAGAAAATGACGTCACTTCAATCAAAAACACCAGCACATTTTGGCTGAATTGAATGGCTGTGGCAAGGGAAATATAGTATGCAAAGAATTATTAGTAAGTGATACTGTAATTATGTAGCAAGTACGAAAGCGCCAGTGCAATCTATCTGTTGGCTTGATAGATTATAAAAAAGCTTTTAATTCGGTACCTCACTCATGGTTTCTAAGAGTCCTCGATTTGTATAAATCGGATCCATTTCTTGAAGAACTACATGTCAGAATGAAAACCTATTTGCAGAATAAGAAGGGAACCTGCTGCTACGTAACGGAAGAAATTGCAATTCGTCGTGGAATCTTTCATGGAGACAGTCTCAGCCCGCAATGGTTTTGTATAGTGCTCACCCCATTGAGCAGAATTCTCAAACAGGATATGGTACTAAGTGAAGAAAAATCCTGAACTTGTATTTCGCACCAGCTCTACTTGGATGACCTCAAACTATATGCTTCTAATTGATACCACTTACAAAATGAGTTCGAACTTGTCAACACTTTCAGTGACGCAGTTTGTATGGAGTTTGGGATTAACAAATGCGCTAACCTTCATGTTGTCTGCGGGCAAGTCCAAAACGGAGAAAAACGGGAACAACGTACAAAAATATCTGATGACACAATTATTAAAAATCTCGGCACTGAAGACTCCTACAAATATCTGGGAATGCTCAATTGTTGTAAATTTTCGGTTCAGATGTTACGAACAAGATCGTCACCATCACACTTAACTCGTAATACTTGTCGCAAATATGTAGCTACGCAAAGGTTACCGAAGGGAATGTAGGTGATCCATGGAAATGGTCAGGTACTTGAGAAGTATTTGGGGGGCAAATTCTCAGTCCTTATTTCGTTTGCATACGTTGTTTTGATCAATAACTGAATACAATAGTTTCTCATTTTTTCATTCAATGAAACAATTATAGAACACTTACAAAGTATAATATTGACTATAATAATCGGATACAGAAAACGTACACTATTGAATTTGCAGCATGTTGAATCCAGAATCCCTTATTTAGAATTTATAGGGTAGATTCGTATGTTATAATACATACAAAATGTTTATCTCTTCAATGTTTTCAATTACAGATTACTTGCACAAATATACTCAGGCAACGAATACTTTAATTTCTGAAAAGTATTAATAGAAATTTCAGATAGATTATTAAGTCGAATACATATTATTTATTTTATTGACGACCATCTTCATACAGACTGATTGCAAGTAATAGTTGCAAGCAAACGTAATGAATATTGAAACATTACGTCGTTTCGACAGTTGGTTTTACTCTTCTTCGGGTATTGCCTAAAATTATTTCAAAATGTTTGTAATACCAATTCAACAATACCATTAAAAAATAGTTCAAACAGAGTACATCGCTGAAAGATTTGTTCATTACAACTTCAAGAGTGTCTGAATTGGGGGCTAGAGCAAAGAGTAAACAATTATGTTCAAAGTATCGAGCTTTTATCGCAAACTCGATGAAATAACGAGTAAATCATTATACTTCCTACCACCTAGTCACAATTGTAAGATCCACTGGGAGAGAAATGCGGGAAATTCCCCGCCCCCTAAATTTTTCAGTGATTATTAATTTTAATTTCTCACGAAACTTTCAAGCAACGATATTTTTGGATTATCATGAAAACGAATAAAATCGTTTCGGAGTATGAGCTGAGTATAACCGGTGACATTTTACAAAATCTAAAATATGACATGTTCGACGAAAACATTTTGATTTTCCCCCGCCAGCATTCGTCTCTGGATGCACCCCTGTGTAAGATCAACAGTTACATAGGAATATGTATTAAGATTCACAATTGTGGCGTTGCAACCCCAAGGCAACTTTGAATAATGTAATTGTAAATCACAATTTTGAGCCATTTACTCAACGTTAGAGCATAACAATTTTCTCTTTGCTCCACCCACCGGAACGATGGATACATCCGATTGTGTATTATACTGTGATGAAAGTTGACTAAATAATTTTGGAAGTAAACTGAATGTAATTTTTAAATACAACAATAATTTTGTTGGACGCAATTGTTAACTCTTAGGCTTTACCACACATTTACAGACAAGATGGGAAATGGAATATGTTGACTTCTATTGCTTTCTTCTCACTTTTTCACAATGTGTTAATTACTATTTCAATTTCATTTTGTATAAATATATAATTTGTGTGAAATTAAACATATTTTTAAAGTTTTAACTAATGGTGTTCTCTAGATCTGTTAGCATACATTAGAATAAATTAGGGATAGCACTCTGAACTAAAAACTGCATATCCATAAAACCATATCGAACACTAAACACATTGAAAAGTACCCAAATATAACGCAAACAATATTAAAATGAGATAATATTCTAAATTAAAAACTGCACAATTTCACATGGCCCAGAAAATAAAAAATAAAATTGAAATAATATATTATTTCATGAATGCACATGTTATGCTGTATTCCACGAAGCTTAATAACATTTCTGAGCAAATTAACACAAATATTTTACTTACTGAACAATTTATACCATACAAATGCCACGAAGGCTGAAGATAATGGAAATTGAATGACACACATATTATGGACTAACAGTTGAATAAAACATTCATTATTTCTATTGTTCTTATTAATTATTATTATTATTATTATTATTATTATTATTATTATTAAACACTGATTATTAACTATTCATACTCATAAACTCATTTAGGCACATTTGCTCGTGAATATGATCAGAAACTGATTATGCACACTCCTTGTGGACGTCCATATTAAAATCAGCGGGTCGCTCTGGCAAGCGACAGCTGTATTAAATGAAGAATTCCTAAGTCAGAATTCTTTGTACTCAGTGGCGGATTTATAAATAGGCAAACCAGGAACGTGCCTAGGGCGGCATGATTTGGAGGGGAGGCACCTTTACGAAGCCACTTTTCTAGATTATGATATTTATTCAATGTTAAATTAAATTTTAAAATATAATATTTGTATATGAACTTCTATAATGTTGTTAAAGCTTTCGAAAAAAATTTGCTCCTGTTTCTTGGAAGAATTGACATTTTTCACCGTATTTCCAAATGTTGATATCGCCTTTCGCATGTATATGTATACACCTATTTAAAATTATTCGACTGAAAGATCGTGCTCGGTTTTGAAGCGTGTCAAAAACTACTTAAGATCAACAATGGGGGAAAGTAGATTAAACTACATTTTCATTTTAGCATAGAAAAATATAATGAAGTTCAAATAGATTATGATATTATCAACAAATTTGCAAACCCGAAAGTTCGACGAAAGCAATTATAATGTTACATTATAATAATACATTATTAATGTACGATATAAACCAGTTTTAAAATAAATTACAAAATAATTTATTTCAAATTACAATTATACATTTTCTGCCTTGTAATAGTTAAATCAAATTTCATTAAATTAACCGGAGAGCGCCATAAACTATTTGCCTAATTGGCAAATTACATAAATCTTCCGATGATTGTTCCGGTTAAATACTGTGTAACACACTAAATATACACAATTAAAAGATATAAACTGACTAGTCAGGCAAGTTGCTCGAATATTATAGTCGGAGAAGAATCTGTCACAATTATATTGTTGTCATCGTCTATGTACTCGCTTTGGTATTCACCGCACGATCTCGTAAGCGCCAGCTGCGCTCTGTGGTTACTCCGTGAGATTCGTTTGCTTATTTATTTAGTAGTATTATTATACCGATGTAGAGCGGAAAACTGTTATTTACACAAAATATTAATTTAAGTTACGACGAAAAATGATAAATAAACCTTGCACAAAATAATATTTAATTATACTAAACGCAAAAAAATGGTTCTATATTTCGGTCAATGCGTTAAAGAAGTATAATAAAGATTTGGTGATTGGAACCCCTAAATAATACAAGCGTATTCTCGATTTTTAGATTTTTAGCCCCAAATTAGATATGACTTTTTTTTAATGACAGAATTTATTTGAGGTGAGTTCATTGGTATCTAGTACATATTTATAATAATTTCAATTTGTATTATGTAAGAAGCACTATAACCTTAAGTTAGAAAATTTAACATGGTTTTATAACAGTTTCTGTTTATCTTATATTTAAACTACAGAAGAACAGGATAAGTAGTCGTTGAAACGTTAAGGTAGAAAAATTGAACATTAATAAACATGTTCAGCAAATTCTTAAATCTAAATTATGGTTTCGTATTAATTTTCAATGTATTTAATAAAAAATGATTGTCTAAAATAATTCTGGACTAAAAATCTAAAAGGGAAATTTCAACGATATACTGAAGACAATAGAATTAAAGTGTATATAATTAACCAATGGTCCGCATTACAATGTAATTTCGTTCACTATTGTTTTGATCTGTTTACTTGTTAATTAAAAATTATTGATTACGTGAAATTGAAACAGAATTAAACAAATATACTCGAATATTTAGGATTTTTGTGTATTATTAGTACAATTTATTATATATCTATTGGTTAAGTTAGAAATATTATTTTAATTTTTGTATTTTAGATTCGGATCGCTAAAAATACCAAGTGCGTAGACACGTGGACTTAATGCTTTTGCACACGTGTTATTTAGTGTTGGTAGTATATTAGTGTTTGAATAATGTGAGCAGTGTTTGAATAATACTCACCAATCAGTATTTTGATCATCAATGACGAGCAAAGTGGAACATTTGTCTTTATTAAAAGTAGGTCTTCCCGTCGACACAGTCCCTGCAGTGGATACTGCTGCACCTAGAAAACAAGTAGGAATAGCGCGCTCAATACAAAGAAATTGAAAGTGGAACTTCGTAGTAATTGTTTCAAGATTCAAACCTTCGTTGTTAATGATTGGACGGACATATGTTTTGGACGGCCTCTATTCCTGAATGTACATTTTCAAGTAACTTCGCGGACAGAAGGGCAGAGTTAATTAGGTTAAATGGACACTTCTAGAAATATGAGTAATATTTTATTCCCAAAAAATTATTTTTCGTGTTCAAATGTGTATAAACGTTAAGAAGATTTGGATATTATCTGCAAATTTTAAACAGCAATTACCATATTTTAATTTTAAAAAATACATAGTTATTGCAAGGAATTGTTGGCTAATATGTTAAATGTTATAATGTTCAGAATCATTGTGCAAAATTTTTTGAAGTGTAAATTTGATTTGAATTGTTTTTTTGGGAGGGGGGGTAAAGGAAATGTCAACTTCATAATTTGCAAACGCTTACTAGCATAATTATCCGGTAGCGACCGTGCACGGTGCTAGAAGCATCACAAATTTAATAAGTTCAGGGTGCTTCGGTTTCACTGCTTATTGTAATTTAGGGATTCTGAAGAATGTATTTTGGGAGATGGCTTTAAGTGTGATACATGGTTCTTATTGTCAGTGCTTTCGCAATGTATACTCCACTATTTCAAGAATATACGTACTGATTTTACCTAACTTCTGTGTCTTGGGTATACTTTCTCACACCCGAAATATCCTGCTGAGATAACAAAAGCTCATTACGAGCATTAATTCTGCGTCCCCTCTTAAGTGCCTGTGTGTGTGTGTGTGTCTAATAAGACACTCCCTATTTTTCGAAAGCCATAATTTCTTCATTTATGATCCAATGTTTTTACAACCATATCTGTTAGAAAGAGTAGTCGCTGTGGTTTTGTTTAACATGTTTATTCTTTTATTTCAGTTGAAAAATGTCGCCTGTGTTGAGTGCCGAAAAGCGAGCCGTTATGTGGTCTGAGGATCTGTGGTGCGAGTACAAAGGTGATGGAGGGGTGAACGAGGGATCTATGCAACACTGCATGCTAAAACAGTAAAAAACTGTCATTCTAAATTACTAACATGGAGTATCACCGACGCAAGGAAATCAGGAAGACCATCAACTTCGAGGAAAGTAGTTCGTGAAATGTTGGAAAGCCCTAAGAAATAATGTATGGCCTGTAAGTTCGGAGTGGAACAATCCAAATCTTCACTTCATGCAGGTCGAAGCACCTGCACATTTTACAAATGATGTCCGCTAGTGGCTGCATGATCATTTCCAAGGCCGTTGGTTTGGCAAACGTGGTGCACGTGAATGGTTTACCCGCAGCCCTGATTTAACGCCTTGCAATTATTTCTCTGAGAGGGAGTGACTAATTAGACACCCTCTGTAATTGTATAAATTATTATAATTGCAATAATCTATTGTAATAATCCCCCACCTCCATGCCGAGACAGGATAATTAAGTTTACATTGACTTTCTGCCTTTTTGGGATGCGGAAAGGAGCAGCGTATCACACACACACACACACACACACACACATGCATTACAAGAAGAAAGTTGCACACCTTTTGAATCCTAATTAATATAATATTAAATTAATCTGCGATGACACAGCCACCGCGCGGCTTTTCCAGCACGAATTAACACTATAACAATATAGTGATCGGAATGAATCATATCTGGACTCCTTTCACTACAAAGCCTCCATCTACTCCTTAACCGGCGAGGTGACTAGGATTCCGAAAACGGTGATTTACAAATAATGTCTTTCTCGAAAGGATGTAAACTGAGCATCCGGTGACGACTCGACCGAGCGGTTGAAGCTGTTGAGAGACGCGATCGTAAGATGGTGAAGGGGCGTTCCTTTCCTGGGTGGCTAAGGAAGGTGGCTAAGGACTTCCTAAGCCTACGGCAAAGAAAACTCGCGACGGGAGCGGTGACAAGTGGCTCTTCCTGCGCCCGCTTACGTATTTGCGTTACGTAATGCGTTATATATTTACGTATTACTTATTCCGCGTTTACTAATCACCGCGTGAAGCGGCGTACTCTTACAATACAAGATTTATTGCTAATTGGAAATTACGTCCTTTTTACCAATGACTAAATTACCTAAACTAACGCTTCTGATCTTTTGAAATGTCATGTGGAAGCGTTATTGTCCAGAATAGCAAGTAGTTTGCTCTGTAGTTCACAAGAGCTGTTGAACAGCTTATAAAACACCTTAGGAAGAGAGAGAAAGTCAGACTTACCAAGAATCGACGCCCCCTGGTCCCGCGCGGCACCTGTTAAAGACTGCACGCGCTGTAGTAAAGACTCCCGTGTTTTCGCAGGGGAGGAAGGCGCGCTGGTAGTGCGTGAGCTGGAGCGGAGGTTGAGCGACAGATCCCCTCCGCTCTGGGACTGAGGAGGGCCGCCCGGCACGCGCGGGGATCCCCCGACCTCTTGCGTCGCCGTACTGTACACTTGCCCTTCGTGGGTAGGAGGCAGCGAGGTGGATCCATCGGAAGCAGCATCGTCCAGCTCTGATGAGAGGTCCCCGGATGAGAACCTATTTGGAAGTAACGCAAGTCAATTTGTTAATTTGTAGGTAAATAAATGAATTTGAGTAGTTCAAATCTCAACAGATAATAAAAATTACAGCACACTCAATATACAAAGAGTAAATATCTTCTTAAATACTTCGCAAAACTATTGGCTTACAAAGTATCAACTACTCGATATTAGCCATATATATCAAGTACACATTTTGTTTGTCGAGAATTGCCAAATTGCACACAAATCACAGAGCAGTAAGCACAGAAAATTGGCGAATGTAGCCGCCGAATCGAACAATGTCGCCAGCAGATCCAAATACATACTCTAAAATAGTCATATCTAATCAATCTCAATACTGTCACAGATGTCACATTATGGTGAGTGAGATTAGAAGAAAAATCTTTATTTTATGTAACAATCTGCGAAGTTAGCTGAACAACCGAGACGTCGTCGCATTCTCGACTATATTAGAAGACCAATCACAAATGAGCAAGAAATCGTTGCACCTGCAAGATGTATATTTATTTAGTCAAAATGGCGTATGGCAAAATGGCGTAGTGACGTATGGGGGAGTAGATCTGTCCACATTTTCTTGAGTTACAGAATCGCTTCCCATCATTTTGACTAACATTTTCATTTCAATTATAAATAGTTGAAAGATTAGTAAAAGTTTTCTTTGAGAAAACAAAAAAATTAATTTAAAAAAATTCAAAAACCGCGAGATTAGCTACATTACCGAGATTAGCAAGAGCTCCGGCCTACAAGTTTCATTCGCTTCCAGGAGCCTGGTAGACTACATTGTTCAGCGAGGTGGTGTACGAAGAGACATTAACGAGATCAATGAAACGATTAGTTTTGCATCCAGCAATAGTTAAATGTACTCTCAAGAGTTACTTATAATTGTATATTATGTGAAGAATAATTGTTGGTTCGATTAGGAAAAATTTAATAAAAACTAGAAAACGTGCACAGTGTAACATGTGCATGATATGAAAAGGTTAGAGAAAGGTCGGGTGGTATTGGCCACCTTACCTTTTTTAATATTGTCTGGCAGAAAAATAACTATATCCAAATACTTAATGCACAAAATGATATCTTGTCTCTAATACACATGTTAAAAGTGATTTGACAAGTAGAAACTAATACTTTATGTTTTTGTAAAAAATCGAAGGTACTGCAAATTAACGTCCTTAACAAGTGGAGGAAAGACAAAACAATATAAAATTGGTCTTTGAAATAATTAAATAACAGGATAAATTACGACTTCTATCTGTTTACTCACAGAACTTCTTAAATATACAAAATGCAGTTTTATTCTGCTTTGAAATACAGCGTAAAATAGGAAAAAAGAAAAAAAATCTTAAAATTCAGTGTCATCAAGAATGGTTATCTTATATTCTTATACAACTCACAATGATAATACCATGAGACTTCAACATTGGCACTCTTCATGGACCCAGCCTTTACATGTGTTGCACTGTATCCAATCTTCATCAAAAGACTCCCCGCAGATTATGAAGTTTGCGATCTGTAAAGATGTAGGAAGGCTCTGCTGCTTGAAGGAGGTGGAATTCTCTATCAAACTTAAGAAGTTTTCTTGGGATTAGTTTTGTTGCATTAGAAACCTGTTTCCTCATTTGGGATGTTTAATTATCTGATTATCTGCATTACTTTGATGCCCATTTTCGTTCTCTTTCATTTTTGTTTTACCTCTCTTATCTTCATTCTTTTCTCTGCTTAGGCATTCTTCTTTTCGATGACGAGTTTTTTATCCACAAGTATTTTTTATAGTATTTCCCTCTTCTAACTGCGATATTCTCGCATTTTGTACTTTACACTTAAAGTGCTCGGTAGTGGTGAAATTAGTGCCAATATCTGTTGAGTTCTCGGTGACATCACAGTCGCTTCTTTTGGGCGTTGGCCGCAAGTTTGATTTGGAGACTCAGGCAAGTTGGAAGCGTAGGAAGGTCTGCTTTTGCTTGCTGGTTGAGCCATGGCCTTTCACCAACAGGATTATCTGAATTCGGCTCTCTCCTGTCAAGTTTGAAACATCAGCTCACTGAAGTTCCTTTTGGTCAGGATTGGTTGAGGTCTGAACTTGAGTTTTCGGTCTCTCTTCTGGTTCCGGAGTTGAGCTGATCAGCGACTCTCGAAGTCTAAGTAAGAAAGCACATTTCGATTGAATGAATAAATCCCAGTGCACAGGAACCCAAGATTGTGCCGATTCCATTCTGCATATTCTGGAAAAAGCAGAGTTCACTGATAAATAAATAAATAAATAAATAAATAAATAAATAAATAAATAAATAAATAAATAAATAAATAAAATGTCTTTATTGGTGGCAAAGATCAGGCCATTTAGCCTGTTCTTCCGCCTGACCACTTTCAAAAAAAAAGTTATACAATACTTCATGTAAAGAAGGTCATTCAAAGAGAAATACGTACGCAATTCGGATGACGGATTTTTCACATTGAAGTCTGAAGTGAAAGCGAGGGAGGAAGGAATATATAGAAAAGGGAATACTATCACAGAATTTGTGAAATTAAATTTATTAATTTATTCCAAGTTAGGGATTCATTACAATTAATCACAAATACATCAAATTAAACGCTACAAGATTTTATTCCGATTTAGAGAAATTATATTTTATTAACAAGTTAGGTACAGAAGAGGATAGGGAGGGGCTTCTTTAAGTCAGTGATAGGATAATAAGTGAAACTAATTATTTCAAAGAGGTTTTGAAGGAGCTATTTTTTTAAAATTTCCCTTAAAAATACTAGAAAGAGAGGGAATATCGTCAGCATACGAGCGAAAACACATCGAGTCAAGAGTTCAAGCCTTGGGAGAAATGGAAAACATTGGAAGATAATGTATTTCGTAATGATAATACCTGTATTTCGTAATAATAATGACAATATTAATAATAATATGAGAATGCATTATAATACTATTCGGTAATTAAATTAAGTAAAAAAAGAAGGAGGGTACTTCTTCATCCTTTATTATTCCTCCCATCATATTAAGGTACTTCCTCATTCAAAAACCACATGCTTCATTATATGCATTTTTTAATGGTTTCATTATAGACCGATCATATGGTTGGATCTTATGTGAAGTGTGAGAAGGCAGACTTATCATGTAAATATAATTTCGTTTGGTATACAGGAGTACGCCAAGATCCTTGTGACGAGTGGCCGTGTATAATCAGTAATACTGGGCTCTTCTCAATATGGTTTACATGTTCAACGAACCGTTTCTGTACATTTGGTGATCCACCAACTCACCTGCCGATCAAAAGTGATTCTTGGGGGAGCGTCCTATTTTAAATCATTGTCAATCCTCACACGAGGGAATACAACAAAGGAGGGATGAAATGATCTCCTGCTGCATTTATTGGCAATACAACAGACATAATCTTTCCTCTCCCCTAGATGTTAATTTTCCCACTTGTTTTTTCCTTTTTTCAGACATAACCTTCATTCTGTTGTTGTGTACACAAGATACGTCAGTTTCGTCCGCATTAAATATCCGTGACGGCGGGAAATGAAATTTCTCCATAATCTCAGCGTATCAAAAAGTATGTTCACCTTATCTTCACTTAAACCACCAGCACGCTATAGACTAGTGAACTCGGCTGTTCTCAACCTTAAGTCCAGATGTCGATTCATAAAGTTATAATAAAAATCTTTCCCAGCCATACCTGTTTCATTATTGAAGCAGAGTTTGATTTATAGGTTTTCAGCAAGTTTGTAAGCCAGTTTTAAAAATGCAGGTTTGCTTAGTGGCATTAGTTGACTATCCAAGGACCTTTACATGATTTATAGAATGTCCTCACAATCAAACGTTTCAATAAACTCGCCTTTGTTCTCTGAACCAGAAGGCGTACCTGTTGCCTCTTTCCCTTCCAAAAGGTTATTGACACGATCTCCTAATGTGCTCTTAGGAACACAATACCTAGCACTGGCTTCACGTATTTGTCATTTCTTTGGAAATAACTTTATAAATATATACATCGTAATAAATGTTGTGAGAGAAATACTATATAACTACATTTACTTTGTAATTAGTTGCAGCCACACAAATCTATCTCCGTGCACGAGAGGAGAGTCATAATTTCTAGATGTTAAGTTTCTTTGCTTCGAAGAGGATTGTTCTTCCCCTTTTTCCGTTTATGCCTCTGTTGCCCGAAGGAGGCACACCCCGGCTGTCCGGCCACCCCGAAGGTCCACCCCGGCTGAAGTTTCCCTCGGAGGCAGATCCTCCTGAGCACTGCTCGACTGGCTGAAGGATCGCTCAGTGCGAGGTTCAGGAGTCGGGGTAGGTGGTCGGAGTTTGGCAGAATGTTATTTTTTTTAATTTGTCTGATCCAAAAGGCCAAGTGGCATCGGCCTTCATGCGGGGCTGAGAAATGTTCGCCTTTGCCTGTGTAGTTTTCTTGGACAATTTTTATTTGGAGGGAATTATTATTTTCCCACATTGCAGGGGTGATGTTTCCTCAGGGAAGTCCACTGGAGACACCTGGCAAAAGAAATGAGCAACTGGGGAGTAGCAGGTGAAGTCTGACAACTCGCTGTTGCTTTAATCGTCTTGGCCAGAGTACTAGAAAATGAACGCCCGAGATCTACAGGGTTCTTCAATAAGTATCAACGTTTCGCCTCAGGGAATTTAGTTTCTCTGTCACTCTGATCTTTTGATCTCCCTCTCCCTTCAGATATGTAGGGCACCTGTTCAAATTGGGGCCGCATGGTCTCCTTCGCAGTTAACACAGTGAGAGATTATAAAACCCACACGTGGAGATTATAAAACCCACAACTAATCCTCCCTGCGAGAGAGGGAAGATTAAATGTCAGGTTCAGAGTGGGCGTGGGGATCAGTCCCACATTCTCCTTCCTCTTGGTCCTAAACACCTCCGTAACTCCCTGACTCTTAAAGAAATACTGAAGTTCCTCCTTACTTTCGAACGCAAAGTCATCGTGACTCACCACTCCCTTACATATGTTAAGGGTAGGGTGAGCGGTCACTTTCATCTGGAGGTCGGCAATCTGCTTAGTTTTGGAGATTTTTTCGATTTGCTCATCGTTGGGTGCTTCGAAGAAAATGATACCAGTCCTCTGACGCATCGCTATTTGGGGCTTACCAAAACTGTCCTCAACGGCTCGCGCGAGACGAACAGAACTAATACTTTTGAATGCTTTTCCTTCTTCCGTGTACGCCATCAAAAGGACTCGTGGTTTCTTTGATTTATCTTGTTCCCTAAGGAAAAAACTACTCAAATCCACCGTTTTCTCAAAACATCGCCTCTTCCTTCCGGAAGAGTGCAATGGGTTTGTTTTATGCTCCATAGAATTGAAGCGGATTTGTTTTCGTGCTCCCCAACTACCATGGAGTCCAACAAGGGGACACTCCACTAGGGTTCCAGGGTTGACACAAAGATAAAGAAGAGAGATGTCACAGCGCTGTCCCGCCCTGTATCCCCCCCTCACCCTGGAGCCGATTGATCGGGAGTAAGTTAGCTCCCGACAGCCCGACTAGAAGAGCCCAACGCCAAAGCAAGTGTGTTGAAAACCTACAAGAAATGTTTCCCAAAATACGTAAATAACGTATCCCTACGTGCGAAGCAGAAAGAAGAAAAATGAGTAGTTGGGAAACAAACAGATTCCTCAATTGCCAGAACACACAGTCCCTCCGACACGGGAAACCATGCACAGCAAACACATAATGAGGGGCAGTGAAATAGAAGGGGTAGATGAAAAAACACACGATGAATGAGAGATAATGTACGAAGGGGAAGATACAGATGACTGGTGAAAGAAAGGAATACTTGAGAGCCTTCCCTGCATCCCCCCAGGGACGTGGACCAATCCACCTCGACGTGTCCACTCACTCCAGATATACTGAATGAAATAATCGGAGAATGTAGTGCTGAATATGTATACTCGAGGAAACATTAGATTTTGTGTCGAAAACTCCTTAGCCCGAGAGGTTGATGCTGATGGACATCCCTGCGTGCCGAAATGTGCAAGCGACATCTAACGATGTTTTTCCGAAACTACGTTCACCGAACCGATTCAGGTTCAGCGAGGTAAAATTCTTGTCCGTGCCAAAAATTGTTTCATGCATGACCGTCGTGTTCTGAAGGAAGTATTTGAGAAGATTGTTGATTCGCTTCGCACACAAGGACTCAAAATCCAGAAGACCTCTACTTCCTTTGTTCTGAAGTAAGTAAAGTCTTACCATTGAACTGTTGGGATGGTGCATACAATACTTGGTAAGAGTGGTCCTAACATTTTGATTAAGCTCCAGCAGTGCAGTTGTTGTCCAGTGAAGTACACCAAATGTATAGACAGCGACAGATACTGCCGAAGGGTTGATAGCTGATATGAGGTTCTTTCCATTTAAAAGAATTTTACAGATTATTATTATTATTATTATTATTATTATTATTATTATTTCATGTTCATTCTTCTGACAAGTTGCCATTGTATTGTTGCTGATCTCAAAGTATTCCGAACAGTTCTGAGGAATCTGACGTTGCTTGAGAGTGTGGTGGCGTTACCTGTTTCAGTAGCTATCTGGAGGAGAATTCTAGCGGCCGGCAGCTCTGATCGGTAGTTTTCCGTGGTTTCTCCGATCTACACCAGACGAATGCCGGAGTAGTACCCTAACAAAAGGGCCACGGATCGCGCGCGATCTCACCTTCCTCTTTCTTGCCCATTACACCCACACTTACACTAACATGCACAACACTACCACACATGCCGGAAGATCCGTCAGGGGATAAGAGCTTGTCCCGGCTGGGCGGTGTTCCGCTGGTGGAAGATATCTGGTTAAGGAAAATCCCGTTAGCAGACGGTAGGTCAGCGTCGGATCTCGCCATATAGTGGGGGAATGATCACCGCCACCTCCCGAGCAAAAACATGCATTACACTTATGGGACTAATGACCCAAGTAGTTGACATGCCCAGAATCACTAAACAATCAATCAATCAGCTTTACCTGTGATACGAGTCACCGCAGTGTGTGCGGAAAGCGTAGGTCAACGCAGAGTTACGCGCAGTTTAAATAAAAACAATTATCAAATTATTTTGTTTTGCTGTTGTTTAGAAAAAGAAAATTTTTTTAAAAAACGAAAAACAACACTGAAATCTTTCGCGATTGCATGCGTGGGGGAAAATATCTGCGCCAGGACGTGCCATATTAATAATATTTGCGTGTAAAGAGTTATCAGCTAACATTTAATTTTCACGTATGCTGATTGTTCCACGTTAGTTCGGGGACATTTTCTGTTTAGTTTTTAAAGAAAAACAATTATTTATAATGTTTTGGTGTTTTTGATGTTGCTTGTGCTAAATTAAATCTTTTAGAAATCTCAAAAAAGGCATAGGCGGTCAAAACATTGTGGCGCGAACTGAATCGTTATGAAAAAATACGCGCACTCTATCCATAAAACTGCTCAACAGACAACAATTAAGGCGAACTCTCATAAACTTTGCTAAAAACTGCAGTAATGCGACAGAATTTGCTAGGGGTGTAACTATACTCTATGTCATCCGATGGATCCATTGAGCATGGAAGGATGTGTCAAAGGAAAGGATAGTTAAGTGCTTCAACAACATTGTAGTAAGTGGCACTTTGAGTTGCCTTCCGGAAGTGTTCCGCAGAGTAATTCCTGACGTAAATGTTCTTGCCAACTTCAACAACAATCTGCAGGTTCATGATGGTCCCTAGACCATCGAGGAAGTGATGAAAGTGTCATGTCTTCGAATGAAGCATGAAATGAAGATTCCCCAGGTGAAGAAGAAGAAACTACAGCACAAGAACCAGCTTCACACCATTAAAAAATTCGTTTTATAGGTGAATTAGATCGTTATGATTTTGCAATCAATGAAGCAGAGGCAATAGAAACTTTATTTGGACTACGACGTAAAATTGAAAATTAATTGTAATAAAAATGTGATGTGATGTGAAGTGATGTGATATGAAATGAGTTCCACGGTAAATAAAAAAAAACAGTATCTCCTGACCGATATTTTCCAAAAGCAGTAATTCAAAATTGTTATCGTGGTGTTTAATAATGAATAATAATAATGTATAATTAACGTTGTTTGTAAGGATATTAAGAATATAATCTATTAAAAATAAATCATTCAGTTATATTACGTTTACGTTATTTTATCTCCTACTCTCTATGTTGGACACCTCTCTAAGCTGGAAAAATGTGTCACCAGAGGTGTCTATCAGACAGGTCCACTACACAGGTCTAACAGACTGGTCCAACGACAGATTTTACTGTACGTGACAGAAAGGGACAACCCGCAAATCTTCGGATCGAATCGCTGAGTCGGTACACCCTCATAGCCACCTCGCCTATCAGAATCTTAGTATACGTATATAATTTATAACTAGTATTGAGCAGTGTGATACTAAATTGTAGATATAAATAAATATACTTACCTCCTTTTTAGGTAATTAACATTTGAAGTGAAAGATTGTTTGAAGCTGGAGAATGAAATTTTGGCGGTTTTTTAAAGGACTTCAATGCTAGGAAACTGTTGCTTAATCTTTGGAGTTGCTTGATGCACGTGTTAACCTGGTACAAAGAAATAGTTAAATGTTAATATATGAAATATATGTACAATAATAAAAAAGCAGTCGAATTGTGTAAATTGGGTGCTTTCTATTTCTGTGCTAATTATTCTTTGTGAACAAGTATATTAATTTCACACCTCGAGCTGCGACCGCAAATACACCACGAAATACTGATCTGTTCAAATTAATAGACTCAGAAGTTTTCAAAGAATTTTATTTATTAACAAAACACTGTGATCTATGTATGTACTTCTACCAATTTAATTATAATGAGATGTCTTGCGCATTTGCAATGATTGACACATAAATTTCTCAATTTCAATAAATAAAAAAACATATTTAAATTAAATAGGTGTAAGACAGACTGACACTCGGACCGACAGACGGACACTCAGGCTGACAGACAGGCACTCGAACACACAGACAGGCACTCGGACCGACAGATACACGCACCCACAGGCACTCGACATTGTCTCGAGGCAGAGCGAGTCAGAGAGGCAGTTGAACAGAGAGTAAGGCGGACGACCAGACAGTTGGAGGACAGACTGACAGTCGGACGGACGGCAAAGTGTCGGCCGGACAGGCAGGCAGGCAGGAGAGTGGGACGGAGGGACAGACAGTTGGACGCACAGGTGGACGTACGGGCAGGCGAGAAGACATTTGGAGAGACTGACAGTCGGATGATCAGACGGAGATAGTGTCGCACGGACAGACGGAAATACTGTCGTTCCGCCAGATAGACGAAGATAGACTCGAACAGACGGCGATACTGTTATACGGACAGACAGTCGGAGTGACAAACGGACAGAGAGAACGACTGACAAACGTACAGACAGAACAGCTGTCAAACGGACAGACAAAACGAACGTGTCAAACGGGCAGCCAGAAATAATTTCAAACGGGCAGCCAGAAATAATTTCAAACGGGCAGCCAGAAAGACTGTCAAACGGGCAGACAGACCTTCAAACGAAGAGACAGGGAGACATTGTCAAACAGACAGAGACAGTCAAGCGGATACAATCAAATAGAGAGACAATATGCTGTAAAACGGACATGAACAGACTGTCAAATAGACACACACACACTGTCGGCCGGACAGACACAGTCACTATCGAATGCTTGGTACGGCTCTAGAGAGTCGTAGCAAAAATCACTCGTATCTCCGATATTTCCATCCAGAAAACGTTCCTTACGCACACACACATGTTCACTGAAAGAGTCTGCATCTAATAAATCACTCGATACAAAAGTAAGACACTGAATCCAGAAATTATTGCGAATTTCGTCGGACAGACACAAGGTCGCGAACGTTGGGAACTGTTACGCACACTTTCTGCCTACCAGAGAGCGAATGAAAGACAGTCGAGGCAAGGAGGAATAAGCTATCGCGCTCCATTCCCAAGCGACGGGATGCCTTGTTAGTGAGTCAGTGAGGGGGGCGTACGCGGAGATTTTGCGACACATGAAGGAATCCCCGGAGCTTGAAGAACTTGGACTCACTGTAGGTAAAATAAGAAAGAGAAGCACGGAAGAGCTGCTTTTGGAGATGGGAGCCGCGGGCTACTCGAAGGCAGCGCAGTTTCAGACCGAATTGACCGATCAATTGCAAGAAAAAGCGGAGGTCAAGACTTTGTCAAGTGAGATTCTCCTGAAGATTAAATATCTTTATAAAGCCACTACAAAGAAATTGTCGAGGTCTTTGACAGACAGCTGAAGGGAGCCAAAGACAGGAAAGTAATAGCTAAGTCCACTCGCCCACCTATAGTGGCACCCAAACGGCCATGATTGCAATTCTAGTAGATCTAGCCAGAAAAGCGGTTCGAATGCATAAAATTAATATATTGGCTGGGTTAGGTGTCGCATTCGGGAGATGATAATTGTGACCAGCTGTTACAGGTGCTTTAAGGCACCTGGCGCGAACTTTAAAGGGCATTATGGGTCCAAGATTTGCCATCGATGCCGTGAGGGAGGGCGTTTTGTTGAGCCTGCATTAAGCAAGATCTCAGCCAGACAGTGCGCAAGCTGAAGGTAGTCGTGATCCTGTGCGAGCAGTATAGGATTACAAACGATCTTCAATGGGTTTCGGACGCGATGAACCGAGCTGCGGTGGGGAATTTTGGTAATAGTCCAGTCCAGGAGGTTATGCAAGTCCCGTGGGTTGAATTCACCTGGATACAGGGGTTCGGTATATATTTTTATAGTATTTATGCCGTGTTATATAGAATGACTGTTTTCAAGACACAGTCACATAGTCGAGCAGGCGGGCGGACGAACAGACATACTCTCGGCGGACAGACACTCGGTCCGTCCCTCAAACACTCGATCCGTCCCTCATCAGTCGAAGTGCGAAGATCACACGGTGCAGCGAAATAAAGTGCCCCCTCACAGATAGCCCAGATAAATTGTGATGAGAAATTATGGAGGAAGAAAAATAGCAATGCTTTGTGAGTGACAAAACAGAGTATTAAATGAGAAATAAAGTTAAAGTGAAATAGGACTGAATACAAACAAAGGAACTAAGTTCAGTTTAAAAATATGAATCAAAAAATATAGGCTTGTGTTGTTTTAATGATTATTGATAAGTCTTTTTATAAAAAGTTTTAAAATTTTGATTAAGATTAACAGGTACTTCCAACTCACATCAGAGGCTGCTCTGATGGCTACTCAGAAGCTATCCCTGACTTTCAGGAGGCTTCTGTCTGAAAGGGACCGTACAGGCGTAATAGTAATAATACTAATGTCATGTCACATGGAGTTGTAAAAGAATGTGCATGTTACATGTAGATTTTTGTACAGAGCTGTTCATACTGACACCTGATAAATAAGATTACCACGAGTGTGACAGTTATAGACATGGGCGTTTGCTGAAAATATATTCCTCTGCAGGATAAACGCTGCACGATTAATCTATTCGAGAACTTCGCGTGGCCCTATTGCAGTAAAAGTAACATCGTACTTCAAATTGAGAGGAACCATCAGTGTATAAAAAGGTCAGGGTAGGATACATGGATTTCGTCTCCTCAAAATCCGTCAGAAATGTGCTGGGAGCAGTTGAGTATATGGGGAAGTTTGACTGACAAACAGTAACTCTTATAATTGATCCCTAAGAACACCGTGTTCTAACTGGTGACTTGAGGATCACTTGTCACCAAGGTGGTCGTGGAAATATCTTGATGAAAGAAAATCTACTAGAAACCAAGGGAACCGCCCCCAAGGCTCCAAGAATGTAAGGCGAAGAATGTCGTACCTCCAGCTGTCATACGCCCTCTATACCGAAATAATTGCTACCAGGCGTTATCATAGGACAAACGAAGTGGAGAATGGTGCGACAAAAGAGACTAAGTGGTCCAATATCCAGCTGAGCTTCCTAAAACCACACTGAAAAGGTATAAATAGATTCCTTTGTTCCAGGAGCCAGACCACACGTGTGTTTACCATTCGCTCTAAAAGCTTGCAAACACAGCTTGTGAACGAGATTGGACGGCAACTTGGGGGAAGTGTTATGTCCTTTCATTCTTTAGAATAACAATGGCTTCACGCCAAATCCTTGGCACGGCATGTTCAACACAAATCTGGATAGAAATGCGGAGGACACAAGAACGTGCGTTTTCCAATAGGTGTTTCAGCATTTATGTATCTGGTCTGGTCCTGGAGCAAAATCTTCTGCGCAAGAGAAGGCAAAGGAAAATTCATCCATGGAGAAAGGAGCATTGTAATCTTCCTACACGCGACTCGAGTAATCTAATCTGCAGTTCTCCATTCTCCTTTTGGAGTTGAGAAGGCCAGGAGGGTTAGTATACAAAGCTGAAGATGTGCTCGTAGTGAGAGGGCAATTCTTCAACTATGTCTTCTGGTGAGGTGAGAAGATTTCCACTTCCAGAAGCTCTCTCATAGACACTGAAGGAAGTCTTTTTGATATGTCGAAAGTTTCACTCCACTACTTTAGGGGGCGTACGGCGAAAGAGTGATAAAAATAGGCTCTCATGGACCTGCCCTACTTTCCCGTAGGTCCAATCTAGCTCTGGCTCGGGATTTTTGATAATTTATCAGATTCTCCATGGTTGTAACCTACTAAACTGTGCCCGCTTCCAACTACGCAGTGACACAGCCGGCATTTCACAATAGCATGGGAGAATGTCAGGCAACCATAACATCGATATCATTTGGGCAGTTTTCCGATATCCGCATTTCTTTCTTGAATGTTCTTTCTTGAATGTTCCCCATGCTCGGTGGATTAGCCAGAGATGAGGACGGACAACGTTTAGGTCGGTAATATCGAAATTGAACAGAGTAGGGATGTGCTATGTACGTCGCCCAGGACAGTCCACTCAAAAATGGGAGGGAGAGAGAGTGAGGGAGAGATGGAGAGAGGGAGAGAGAGAGGGAGAGACAGGGAGAGACAGGGAGAGAGAAAGGGAGAGAGGAAGAGAGAGGGAGGGAGAGGGAGAGAGAGGGAGAGAGAGAGAGAAATGTCCAGCAGATAGCCATATCTACGGATGAGAAAGTGTTTGAAGATACGGAAAAATTGCTGCTTTCGGCAGTATTGAGAAGAATTAGGTTTTGTCATTAATATTTTGAAGTATATTATCTTTCGGGCAGATCCTTGTGCCACCCCAGGCGGGATTTGGGGCATTTAAGTCCCCCACAATAAGAAAAGGGACGCAACTGAGAAAACATCGTTCTCATTGAGACGTGGCCAGCAGGAATGTATATATTGCACCATGTTCGCGAAAAGGATGGTTGGTGTATCCGAACGCATACGGTTTGAATGTAGGTTTGAACATATTTCTTCAGAGAACAGGGAGTCACGAATAAGAACCGCGACAAAACCCCAGCACGAAGTTCGTCATTTTACTCATACGTATTGGTGCTAAAAACGCAAAGACAGAGGAGATGGTTGGAAAGATGAGTTTCCTGAAGGCAGAATATGGATGGACTATGGCAAGAAATTATCAATCTCAATCATTCTGATTGTTCACGAAAGCCGTTTAAATTCCCTGA